TTTTCAATCTTATACACATGTGAAAATCTGGACAACGAAAAAGGAAGATCGAAGGAGAATTGATGAATTTGAATTTTGGTGTTGGCTAAGAATATTGAATATACCATGAATTATCAGAAGAACCAAGAAATTCACCTTGGAGGAAGTATAGACAGAATGCTCCTTAGAGCATGACAAGACTTCTTCTTGCTTACTTTGGACACATCATCAGGAAATACCAATTGATAGAAAAGGACATCATGTTTGGTAGAGGGTCAGCAAAAATGAGGGAAGCATTCCATGAGATGGACCAGACAATGTTTCATTCTGTTATATACAGGGCTGCCTTGAGTCAGAGCCGACTCAATGGCAACTAACAAGAACAATAGCTGCACGACACAATAAACATAATTAATGTCACTGAATTATACATGTAAAAATTGTTAAATTGGCAAATGTTTTGTTATATATGCATTTACTACAATAAAAATAAGTATATAAAACTTTTAGTGACTATCTCACATATATAATCTCCAACTATTACTGAAACTCTGCAAGGTAGATATCATTATCTCTGTTTTACAGATGAAGCAAAGCCAGGTTAAAAATGGATTTGCTGCTGCTAGAAGTTGCAGTCTGTGGGGCCTGAAACATGGTAGGGACTCAATACACAGTTATTAAATTAATTTAAAAATTGAAAAACACATGAAATATTCTAATAGAGAGCTTAACCAGTTGCTGTCAAGTCAATTCCAACTCACAGAGAACCCATGTATGTTAGAGTAGAACTGTGTTCCATAGGGTTTTCAATAGCTGATTTTTTGGAAGTACAACTCCAGGCGTTTCTTCCGAGGTAGCTCTGGGTACACTTGAGCCACCAATCTTTTGGTCAGCAGCCAAGTGCTTACCCATGTGAGCCACCCAGAGACTACAACAGAGAGCTAGGAAAGGGCTGTAGGTTTCCTGTATTTGGCGTGGCATGAGGCACTACCGAATTTGACCTGAAGTATGCATGAGCCTTGACAGTTGGAAATAAAACAAGAAAAGCTAAATACTTACATATTTGGCAACTGAGCAAATGATGTGCATTTAGTTCCCACTCAAGAAATAAAGAAGCTGCTGGCTCTATCATGCAATAAACTGGCAACAGGATCTCAGGGAAGTCAACCAAGTCTAAAATGAGGTTAATACCTGTAATGCCTACTGGAAACGCTTGTTGTAAAGACTGAATGTGACGAGCTATATATAGGCTTTACAATGTCTGCAATTTATCAAAATGTTTCAACATCCACAGTTGTGGTAGAAGCATCTGTTTCCTCAGTCACACCAGCCACAGTAGGTGCTGACAAGAGTAATCAAAAGTTCACACAAACAAGACACCAAGTCAACTATCTTCAGCTCTGATCAACAGCAGAAGGTTATTTAGCATAATGGCTGTGACAAATGACTTTTGATTAATAAAATGGTGTTCAAGATGGGCTATGACTATTGTACAGACATTTCCACTCTTGCATGAACTGAATATAAAAATCTATCCAGTCCAAATAGCTAAACCTTTCAGAATGGTGCCCTTGGCTGAAGATTCCCACCAGTCCTATTTCTAGATTTGTTTTGGAGGAAATTTTGTCACCTGATTCTGACAATAAGATCAGCCAAATCTTGATGCTAGAATATTGTCACTTCTGTGTCTACTGAAACTATATTTTGCCTAGGGTACTACCCAAATGCACGAAAGGACATAGGGCAGGGACCTTCTAGAGCAACACCGCCCAAGAGAACTTTCTGTGATGATGGGATGTTTTATGTCTGCCCTGTCCAATGATGTAGCCATTAGTTATATGTGGTCACTGAGCCCTGAAATGTGGCTACTGTGACGGGGGAACTACCTTTTTTATTTTATTTTTAATAGCCACATGTGTAAGTTCTACAGCTTACAGAACAAAGCTGCACAATGCTTTTGTGCCTGCTTGCCATTAAATACTCGTACGTGTGGAAGAACTCGGTCTTTGAGATGCTTTCATGGCAACACTGGGTGGTGACGTTGTGGGAGAGGAGACTTATAGCCCTCCTCTACCACCATGATAGACTAACCATAGAAACCCATGATGCATAAATAAATCAGGTGAGGTCAGTTCTCAAGATGGCAGAGAGGACTTCTAGGCCCAGGAGGCCGATCTGGGTTCTCTAAACTGCGCAAGTTAAGATTAGGGTGAAAATACTTAGAGAGTTGTGAAAATTAAATGATACTGCATGTGAAAGCACCTAGCAGAGTACCTGGTATCTGGTAGAGGTTAGATACATTTAACTTTGCTTATACCAAAACGCTCTGCTTTCATCCCCTTCCTCCTTATTACATGCTTACATACAAAACCTTCGATAAGGTTTTGACTGTTTTGGAATGAGCATAGGAAATTGCACCCGCCCTCAACTCGTCCCCCAGCCCCCTCAAAAAAAACAAAACAAAAAAACACCTAAATATTTCAGCTATGAGTTTAGTTTGGAAAGACGATGTCCTTGTAACAATAATTTTTATGAAACAAAACAAACTATGGTAACAAGGGGACTTCCTCTCTTCTAAAGAGCATCACTAGTAGTATTATATGACTCCATTCACGTCGGTTTTTGTCCCCGAAGGTAAAGCAGTATTAAAACATGCATGGGGTAAACATCAAATTCAGGATAGTGGTCACTGGGGGAGTGGGGAAAGAAGGGGATCAGGAAGGAATACAATGGGGCTTGTGCTTTATCCATAACAGTTTATTTCTTGAAAAAAATCATGAGTCAAATATAGCAAAATGTTAAGATTTGATCAAACTGAGTCGTAAGTATGCAGGTGTTTATGATATCATTTTCTATACTTTTATGTATTCTTTCAATTTTTTCTTCTTTGATATATATTAAGTCATTCTGATTTTTCCCCCTAAAGTATTGCTGAAGTAACATCAACACACATCATCCTTAGGATGCCGTGCTGAAGAATGGAATTGATTCTAAAAGATAATTTTTACCTCTAATAACAGATCAGGGCATTTTTGTTCTTCATTAATAATACCACTTGTGTTAATGTCTTACTTAGAACTTGGTTTGAGTAACTTCTCTTGGATCACAGTTATTTAATCTAAATAGTATGAAGTGACTCATTCTCACCACCCCCCCTTCTTTTTTATTGAGATCACCCATAATAAAATCCTCTGAAGGTTTTAAAAATAATACGTTGTGAGTTTTCAATGTTTTAGGTGTGGAGTCAGTAATAATGGTATTTCAGTATATCTGAATTGCCAGAAGAATGTCTGAAAAATGAATACCATCATCCAAGTACAGGGGTATCCCCAAATTGTTACACTGGTTTACAGGATAAAGTCTAAGTTACTTAACAAGGGTAGAAAGTCTTCCATGATCTCACTGAGCCCGTTTACCTCATTGTGAGCCACCACCTGCCCAGACTGGTCTCCCCACACACCAGGCTGTTTCTCACGTGGATGACCTTGCTCATGCTGTCCCCTATGTCTGAAATTGAATGACCCCCTCCTCCCCACTCCAGTCTTCACCTGGCTAACTTCTACTCCTCCATAAATACTCAGGTCAGAAGTACTCCCCTCCAGGAGGCCCTTCTCAATACCTCTATCCCAACCCCAAACCTGGCTGCATCAGGCTTTCCTTTTGTATTCCTATGACATTACTTTTTAAGTGCTGTTATTGTATTCACCACCCTGTCCTACAAGAGGCTGTTTATGTCCATCTCTCCAAATAGGCCCTCAAACTCTCTAAGGACAAGAACCATCTCAGACATCCACATGACGAAAGGGAAGTAATCACCACTGCATTTGTCCCTCTGCCCTCAAGAGGGATCCTCTTCAGCCCTGGAGGCAAAGAGTACAGAATATTATGAAAGGGGATCCTCTGGCTTTCTACTCCTGTTTTCTCTCTTAGTCCTCATTTCTGGCAGTAACTTGGTTCCTTGTGTTGCCATGGTAACCAACAGTCCTAGAACACAGACTTCTGACAGTTGGACTTATAGCCACTGAGACTTGGGATCTGCTCTGGAGTTGGCAGCACCTTTCATGCAGGCAGCTACTCGAGCAGGGTATGACAGAGTCTGAACCATCTGTGAGTGTGTGCGTGTGTGTGTGCGTGTACTCATTCTTCCACCCCCACTTGCTAGGGCATCATGGAAAAAGCTGGACTTAAAAAATATCATCAAATGGTGGGAGGATAGGCATTTCAATAGCCATAACCTTTCTGGAAAGTAAACTGGTATCAACTGTCAGTAGTCTTTAATAGGTTTGTGATCTTTGATCTATTAATCCCACTTACAGGAATATAATGCAACACTGTCAAAGATTTATGGACAAGGAGGTTTCCTGCAGAGTTATTTATTAAAAAAATAACAACTGAACAGTCATTAATAGGAAAGTGGTTAGAAATTACAGAAGACCCATACTGAGGTTTGTTGTATGCCTGTGCCACAAAATAATCTCAATTTCAACAATTAATGTGACACACACATCTATCTATATGTATATGTGGATGTATGCGTGTGTGTGCACGTGTAAATAAACAAAAAGAATATAAGGAAATCCATCAAAATGTTTTAATAGTGGTTATCATTATCTTTAGATGGTGGAATCCTAGCACAGTTATTTTCATCTTTATACTTTTATGTATTTTTAAAATTTTATACAATTATTTCTTTTATGATAGAAGAGAACAATGGTTCTTTCAACTATAGGAAGACAGAGGATGAGCGGCATCAGGTGGACATGTTTACTGGAGAGGATTATTAGTAGACAGCTACACAATGAAACAGGTTTTTAAAGGGAGATGGCTACCTCTTCTGCCCTTCATTGAAAATTGCAAAAATAGGATTAAGTTCTATCCAAATAGAAGAAGGAACAGATGTTATTGCTTGAGTAGCATCACTTTCCTTTTTTTCTCTTCCACCAAACCTTTTTTTTCTTTTTCTTTTGAAGCTACCTCAGATGAGGGAGACCTATGCTGTAAGATTTGAGCCACTGAACTCCATGGCAGACCCATCCTCCAACAGCAACAATACTGACACAGAAGACTGCAGCTCCGAATCCAACCTGAGCCTCTCTGTGGGCTATTTCCCCTATGAGGACACCTTCTTCAGTGAGGACACAACCCCCTATGAAGACATGCCCTCTCAGAGTCCTTCAGTTCAATTCCTCCCTCCTATCCAAGGGATGTGGAGGACTGAAAGTACATTGAGACCCATGGGAAGACGAGACCAAATTCAGGACAACCCAGAGCAGTTTTGCAAACTAAGCATTACCCTGGCCTGGGATGTTGATGTGGGTTCTAATGATTCAGACTCAATAGCTAATTGGAATTTAAATGGACACAACCAGTGGATGGACAAGTATCCAGAAAAGAAGACAGAACTGACTCTCAGCAAACTGGATGGTCTCGTGCAAAAGCTTGAGAAATTTCTAGAAAATCAGAAAGATGATGAAGACAGTGATTCTATTTTCCGTGAATCTACTCAGGAGGAAGATTTCCAGCTATCCAGCAAATCCCCTCCATATATGGCTCAGGTCAGTCATCAAAAACATAGTTCTTGTCAAGACTTGCCCAACTTCAAATCACCAGAAAATAAAGACATCACCCAGTTTCCACATATTCCTCTACCGCTTCAGGAACATGAACTCAGTGAGGTGAGTAGTAATAGACACCTTGAAAGAGAGCAGGGATGGGCCTGATGAGGGACCAGGTTGGAACCCATGGAGCATTATTACCTGCTATGAAGCAGGGCCAGGCCCCCTGGGTCTCTGATGTGGCTAGCAATGGCAGAAGGATAATTCCAAGGAAAGGAGTCAGGGTGGAGGAGAAGGGAAAATAATGAGGAACATCATGCAGGAGAAGAGGGTAGGAAAGCAATGAAAAAGGCTAACAATTATGACGAAAAGCTCCCAATTATGACACTCTAAAAATGATAAGATGTATGTTTTTAAGTATTAATGAATATTTAACTTTGTACTTATAGTTGGATACTTTAGGTAAAAGGATTTAAGTTCCATAAATGGGTAAAAATTGACAACCATGTTGTCCAGCGGGCGTGTCTCTAACTCATCATTCCTTTTCTTGGTAGACAAGCCAGGCAACTGGCAGCCAAAAGACAAGCATTACAGAAACTTCCTCAAACTCATCAGGTCAGCCAGAGGAGGAGGACAGTCCTTCTAACACACAAACCCTATCCTGTCTGAACTTTGGGTGGGTATTCCGCTGGCTGAGGCAGCAAGTCTTCTCCTCGCTACTGGGGAGAGAGCAACCCAAGAAGGCCACCAAGAGCCCCCGTCGGGTGGCACCAAAGAAGAGACTCTCTCACAGAAACAAGAGAATCCAACCTCAAGAATCCCTTGATTTAGAACACCCCATGTCATCAGATTTTTAAACTTTTTTATAGCCCCTGTTCTACAATTGCCATAGGTTTATTTTTTCCAATAAACAAATATTCTTGTTAGCCATATCTTTCTCTTCTTGTTCACCATCTTAACTGAGGCTGAAAGTACTACTACTGTGTAGAAGATTGAAATGTATTCTCATGGAATTTTAAATGCTAGTAGTCTTCCTAACCTTTTTATTTTATTTCACCCTATTTTATTTATTTTATGTATTTTAACCTCTTTTATCATTAACTCAAATCCTATTTTCAGAAGGCAGCCAAGTATAGCCCATTAGACTCCCAATGTAGCAACATGGTTTTGGTTGAACTTCCGGAAGCAAGTTAAATTCTGAGGCTCATCTTGTGCTGAGACACTTAGGAAGTTAATTTCAATTGGCAGTGTTTTGAGAGTTAGTTTCGACTACAGTTTTGATGGTCCTAGGGGACCAGACTGGTTCTAGTATGTGCTGCCTTGGTTAGAAGGCGGCCCACTTCAGAGAAATATGAAGACTGGGACTGCTACTTAGCCTCTCAAAGTGTAACTTTCCTTATCCATAAGATGGGAAAGATAATAATTCATACCTCATAGGCTTGTTGTTAAAATGAGATTATGCAAGCATGTGATAAATCTCATTGTTGCTATTATTTGTTCTTCTGAGGATCTCCCCAGAAGCCTTGATCCAAGGGACGTCCAAGAGATTTCAAGAGTCACCTCTCATTCAAATATTTTCCACACAGGAGCATAATAGGCCCATTATGTAGTAAGATTTCTGACACATTTTTGCTTATTTTTCAGTTTTGTATAAACCTGCTTGACAGGTGTAGACCTGTCTCTAAGATTCAAGCATTGTACATTGCAAGCCTTTACAATAAAGTGGACTTTAAATACTCTTTGGAGTTAAGTGTCATGCTACAACTTAGAAAGTGAGACAAAGTGTTTAAAAACAGGAAATATTTCAGTACCCTCCTCATTCACTATAATGACAAACATTCTTTGAAGCTATTAGCTGCATGCCAAATCATAACAAGGTCCTCTGCTTTGTGCCATACACTTGGGGCAGGGGTTGGGGCTGGAGGGAGCCGACCTTCATGTCCAAAGAACTGAGCAAACTGGGCATGGACACTGAAAGATATTGGCTTAGCTATAACCGAAAGCCTCTCATAGAATTACTGTAATTGCCAGGTACTATCTACATGCTAATCTAATCAACCAATAATTTTTGGGTTCTATTATTTCATGACCAAAAACTAATATAATCTCTTCAAGAGAATTGCTCAACCTTAAAGCCTATCAAGTTCCTGCTCCAGCTAGCCAGGTATAAACATAAATGTTCACATTCTAAAATCAGTAACAACAACATAATATAAGCCAGAATACACTGTGAGGATTTATCGAGCAAATATGTCGGGGGTATTCAGCTCTCTCCAAATGCAGGATTGGAATAGGATAATACAAATATATAAGAGACCATTCCCAGGCCATGACAGTTTCTTACTCAGCAGGATCCCAATTAGAGGGAAAAGCGTGTAACCGTACCATACCAGCAAAACAGGCAAAAACAGTTTTTCCAAGCTTAAAGAATATAATGTGAAGATTCATGGCTCCAGGATTACTTGGCCACAAGAATAGTATCTAAAAGTCTTTTATAAAATAACAAGAGAAAAATTAAACAAACTATAAATGAATTCCTAGAGAGAGCTTGCTAAAGTCCTTACTCCAATATAAAGGACAGTTTTGTTTAGGTACGAGGGATAGGTAAGGCTTCAAAAATATAAGACTTTTCATTATGAATTGTAAGTGGGGCAATTTATATGGCATGCAAAGCAATGTCTAATTTCAAGATGGATGGGTGAGTTTTACGTTGCATTGCCTGGAGTCAATCTTTTCCTGCTACCCCCTAATACTCCAACAAATAGAACAACGCTCTGCTTTCAAAAGTGAAATAAGATACTCATCAGATAACACTCACTGAGTGAGCCAGTCGTGAGCAGGGCGGGTACAAAAAAGGCCTTAGGATAAATTCCCAAAAGGATTATTAGCCTAGATCAAGAGGTCCCTTGCTAAACACCTTCTGTTTACTACCCACCTTTCAAAGGCATTCTGTGGTTTTGATGCCCATTCAATTCCAATATAATAGGCTTTATAAAGGACAACTTTCAAGGCATTTTCAAATGAGAAGGCAAACATCAAATATCTTTTTAGATTGTGATTGTTAAATGAAAATTTCATCTCATTATTACTGAATTCTCTCAGTCTAGAAGGAAAGCAGAAAGGCAATTTATTTTGTTATTCCTCACTCTGCATCAATAATGAGTTTTTTTTTTTTTTAAGTACAAATGTCTAAAATAAAGAACTCTGGCTCCAGGGTAGAAATTCCCCATATACCCACTCAGAAAGAAAAAGAAAACACCTTGGACATTCTAATGGTTAATGTATGCTTGGGGAGCTGTTTACAAGTTTCACTTTCATCAACCCATTGCCATCTGTCCTTGAGGCCTAAATTTTCCACAAGGTGGGGATGAAAAGAAGATTTTTCTTCAGTAAATGACTTCAAAAATTCAGTTAGCACCATACTGCAACAACCAACATCATAATTCATTCGTATAAGAACCCCAAAGAATGCTAAAACCATTGAGTAAATAATTATGGAATATGATATCCACATGGTATTCAAAAATTCTCCACAGACTATATAATCATGACCAAGGCGACTGAGTACCTTTTAAGTTGGTGAACACCAACATAATCAAGTGATTAAACTCAGCATAACCATTCATGGGACAAACCAACATCATGCACCTCCTGAAGAAAAGCAGTATATTCTTGCTAATAATGTGTAACCTGAAACCAGTCATAGGAAACAAATAGTCAGATGAATCCAGATTGTAGGATATTCTACTAGACAACTAGCCTGGACTTTTCAAACATGAAATAGATGAAATACAAAAACAAAAGAAGACGAAGAAGAAAAAAGGCAGGAAGACGATAGAGTTTAAAAAGGAGACTAAAGAGACATGATAATGCAATTTACGATCCTTGACTAAATCCTTGATTAAATCCACAAAGCAAAACAAAACTATGGTAAACAGCATTTTCAGAACAGTTGGGGAAATCTGAATATGGACTACATTTTAGATAATAGTACTGCGTATTTATTAAGTGTAGTAACAATATTATGGCTATGTAAGAGAATGTCCTTTTTCTTAGGAAATTTAGGCTAAAGTATTTAAAGGGGTAAAGTGTCATGATGTCACCAACTTATGTCCAAATGGTCTAGGAAAAAACACAATAGAGAGTAAAAACAAAGATGGGAAAAATATTAAGAAAAATTCCAGTGAATAGAGAATCTAGATCTCTATTATTAAAATAAAGTGTTATATTTGATATACTTGCATGGTAACAATATCTTAGAGATGTACATATTTAAAGCTTTAAAAATTTTTACTGTAAACAAAACTTAATTTGATTTCTCAGACCCAGTAATTCTTCAATTTGGATTCATTCATTCATCTTGACACCTATCTGTGGATGAAGCAACAGCCACACTAATTGTCAGTCTCATGGGCTAGTAAATATTCAGTCCACAAGTCCCTCTAACTATAATAAGGCAAGATGGTCCAGTTGAAAGCAGATTAGCATCTAAGTATTTTTCAAAAACATTTATGATTTCAGGAGTTTATTTAGCTCTTGCTGAGATTGAACAGAATATTTTTTGCCCAGTGAGGAGCTAGGCCCTTTGCCTTTTCAAATTATCAAATTTAGATAATAGCTAGATAGCTCATGTTTACCTTCAGATGAACTTCTGGTACATTTTTCTCTGTTTTGTCACAAATCAGGGACAGCCTGAAATTTATAATACTAATAATTCCTGCAAATTGCTTTGATATTTCCTTTCATTTTGAGTGGTGCTAATTGTTCTGCATCTTCCCACCTAAGATGAAGCACAGGCATAAAGTAATCATATATCCAGTTGTCCACACTGGGGAACTTCTGGGAGTGAAAAAGAGTGCCACTAATAATTATGCTGGGTCATCAGGAAAAACCAGGACTGTTCTGGGAAAACCCGGTCATATGGCCACCACAAAGATGGCAGGGTTTCATGGGAAGACTTTAAAACATACACATTCTAATTTTCAGAGATACTATCGCTTTTATTAACATTTTTTGGCTCATACCTCTTATAAGATTTTTTAAAGCTATATATCCTCTTTTAAACAAATGCACGCACTTAAATATATTGAATGCTTTGCAGATAATTCAGAAAGTTCAGAGATGCTCCGAAACCCCCCTATTCAATTCCAGATTAAAAACCCCAGCTCTTGAATAAGTCTTATTCATGACTTCAAATCCTAGGTCTACTATTTATTTGCTGTGGATCCTGGGGAAGTTCCTTCACTTCTGTTGGCTTTCCATTTCCTCATCTATAAGCTGCAATAATAAAAGTACTAACCTCAAAGGGTGGTCATGTAGATTTGGTAAAATAAATCTTCCTGTGAAGTACTTAGAAAACTGCCTGGCACATAAAAATTACCAAATCGGTTGCCGCTGAGTCAATTCTGACTCATGGTGACCCTAGGTGTGTCAGAATAGAACTGTGCTCCACAGGGGTTTCAATGGCTGATTTTTAAGGGAGACTGCCAGGCCTTTCTTCCACGCTACCGCTGGGTAGATTCGAACCACCAATTTTAGGTTAGTAGTTGAACGCAAACCATTTGCACCACCCAGGGACCTTCCTGGAACATAGCCAGCACTTAAAAGTTTAGAAACTATTAGGTGCTGTCATGTACTTCCTTTGTTTATAAACCTGCCGTGGCTCCTACTGACTGCAGAATAAAGTCCAAGCAAACTGCCAACTAAGTCTTGCTATAATTGGATCTTGATATATATTTTGTCTTGTTTTGTAATATTACCCACCTCCCCACAGCCCCCTTCACGTCTCATGGTTCAGACCGTTGCAGTGCTTGTTCTCTGCCGTTGCTCCCGTACTTTCCTGCCTCAGGGCCTCTGC